AAAACCACATTTGCATTAGCAACACAAATTAACAAGTTATTCTCGTATAATGCAGATCATACTATCTGCTCACATTTATGTGTATTAGAGTGTGTTCTAATACATGCTCCCCATTTTGCTCTATGCTACATGCAGGCACACCCTTTTGTTCACTATGCGGTAAACAAAGCCAGTTCATCCAAAAAGACCACTGATTACTATGTAACCATATCCCACTAATTCCTATATAACCATGTCCAATAATTTATCAATCTTCTTATTATCCATTCAGCAGCCAGAGAGATCCCAGAAGATTCACATTCTGGGGCAAAAGTCTATTCAATTAGAATGTTCAATAGTTGGAGAGCTGTGGTTCAAAGCTGGCATATACTGTACAGAGCAATGATATATGTTAAAAAAAAAAGAAGCTATACATATGTACCTCTTTAACAAACCACTGGCAGTAAGCTACGGAAATCCACTCCCGTGCATGAATTCCACAATCCATAACTATAACTGTCTTCGTCTTCTGCGATGGAAGTCCAACCTACAACATAAATATTTGTAAACTGGTCAGAATGAAACACATGTCCATTTTGCCAGCATCCTTGTTAAAGATCATCAGGAAGATAAGAGGGGGATTAGTAAATATGAGTTTGATGTTTTCGACCTCATGCTTTGCTGTGAGTGAAACCAGAAAGCAGAACTTTCAGCCTCAGGAGTTTGGAGAGAAGGAGATTGGGTCTCTCATTTATCTCCAACTGCAGCACACAAGCAATTTAGATCCCTCATGTAATATTAGCACAGTTAGAGTGTATGTAAACCCAAACAATAAACTTCTCTTATTTGGTCCTTTTTTGTCTGTTACGTACTATTAGTATACTGTAAATATACGATTGAGGAGATTTTGTTATATCTATTTGATAAGTTAAAAAAAATACCTGTTTATTTTGTGAGCTGATAACTTCCTGTGCTCTCTGCCTCTACTGACCCTTATCATTTACTTTGGTTTTTTTGCTCTCTGAGGACTACAACACCATCCTCTCTATGTTATGGACAATGGAGGGGGGGGGATTTCGGCCAACACCCCTCGATCAGCTGATCAAAGGAGTCGATCGGAAAATCTTTGTACAAATAGAGCCAACAGCCAATGAGCTGCCGGCCATATTTGGGTATTTTGAAAGCAGCCAGTGGCCGCTATCAGAATACAACGTGCTGGTAGCGATGATGGAGAATGATTTTTTTCCGGATTGTGCGAGGTCAAACCTGACTTGCTGCACATTGTGCATCAGGATGCGCATAGACTGGTGCGCACAAGAGGTCACAAGGGAAATAAAAAAGTAGCATAATCCATGACTAGTTAGGCTGGAACATGCATCCCTCATAGAAGGAGAGCATGTGTAAACACGCATGCTATGTGACACCCATGTAAAATGGACCTATGCAGACATGCATTGTGGTGCATGTAATGGGTCCCACCAGTACAAATAATGCAAATAACGTGTCATCAAACATTGTTCGCAAACATAGATTTTTATGTTATGTGATACTGAGCATGTGTCAATAAAGGCATATTGATCAGCATACTGGAGTGCCAGTCACCCCCTTTTTTCTGTTATTGAGCAGCACCTTCTGTTTGTCACTGCTGCACCCACCTATTCCAAAGGTACTTACCGGTGAGGAGTGTGATGGGATATGGACATTAATTTGGTCTTGTATTCGCCCCCTCCTGTAGTTTGCCGCAGGCGGACGGTAGTGGGTGGAGCCTGCTGGGCTGCTGCCACAGCCCTGCTCTCTGCATATGTCCACCACAGTGATGATGTCACCATTATATATGCATTATATTATCTAAGTTTGCAAAGGCATTTGGTGGACACAAAGTGGATTTATATATTCTGTGGCTATTAGTGATTATATTTAAATGAAAGTTTTTATGCTCGGAGTTCAGCTATAAATGATGTTTGTGTGTCTGTAGAGGAAATATTTTGTTCTCTTCCTGTTCTGTCTGACAATAGTCACCTAAAAATTAAGTGAGGGAAATCTCAATCTCGCCAGCAATAAAATCCAGACAGAAGTGCTTAACCCTAACCTATCCTACTCTATTAGACGATGTGTTTTAATGCTGTCTGTGTTTCTTTTGGAGGATTTTATTTCACTTTCTGTTCTGACATCTGGAAAAAAATGGATGTGAGTGGATTTTTCCTTACTTCTGGTACAGTCCAAAATCCATCGAACTGTCACAGAAACTTTAAAAGTGAGGAGCAGTACTACAATGTAGGCAGATGTTCTCTCCCTTGCAATGTCCAAATCTAAAGCAAATAATCTGGCTGGGGTTGGGTTCTAACACTGAAGCTGCAAACCAGAAGGGAAAGCAGAAGGAAATACTCATCAATGTGCTAATGTCCAGTAACAGGCTCGAGCAAGTCCTAGACCAAGCTGTAATACTTTACACCAGAGTTTTTCACTTACTTTTAAATAATGGATTGGATTTTTTTCATAGGTATGTCCAAGAAGGTGATGGGACACTAAATCGCCGTGCTTATCTGTAACCTGTTTCATCCACTCATAAACCTAGTAAAGAATATGCACATCATTATCTAATGCAATATAACATTTTAGAAACCTAATGTAAATAACATGGATGATAGGATGAGACTATAACACAACAGTTCTATGATCTGTTACCCACAAAATATCTGTTTATTCCTGGCTGACATATATATAGCTCTGGTATATAAAAAAATTACACAGTGCTAAAGGTGAAATACAAACAAAAGGTATATGTGTAAAAATATATATAGTGATGGTCTAACATAGAAAATGAGTAAGCATGATCTAATAAAGGTTGAATAATAGGTGGAAAATCTATGTGATATCAATAGATAAAAAGTGTAAAAAGTTCAGATGCAAAACTAAACTGAATTGAATTAAGGTGGGGTAACATTAAGTTAACCGTGAAAAAATATCAAACAGTGCAGCCTGTGAAAGACAATTCTCCAAAGATGTAATTTGTAACAAACAGTAAATATAATCAGTGGTAAGCTGATACTTAATAGCAATCAGCACATATAATCACAAGTAACAGTGAAAAATAATGTAAGTTGTAGGTTGATAATAAATAATAACAGTCCCAAGGTGAATTCTCAATTATCAGTGGAAAGGTGACAGTGTTCAATAAGCAAACTTATTAGCGGTAAAAAGAAAGAAAAAATAAAAAGGTTATTTCTGTTCCTTTCCCCTTGATCCAGCAGCCCCCCAAGCGTTGGGTACTCACCAGATGCCATGAGTAAATATAGCCCCTCAGAAAGGATAACAAAGGATATTTCTCTGGTCCACACTCCCCTCGCACGGAAGACCTCACTCTCCCCCTACCAACTAAACCCTTTATCATATGGCCCATGCTTTCCCGGGTTTTTAACAATGGCTGTCATTCCATCCTTTTGGTATACATATATCATGAATTGTTACACAAACTGTATTTTGTATCAAAGCAAATCTATACAAATGTCTATGAACACATCAATTTTACATCATTATGTGAAGAATTGATCAGAAGTGGTTTAATATTTTCCTTTAACCTGCCACACATATTTGCAGTTGTTTATTTTGATCCAAATTATGGTTAGAGTCACAATGAAGTTGAGACAATTATTTTTATGCAATTTTCACTGCGTTGATTTTTTCTGCATGCTACAAAAGACTGAATAATACAAAAAAGTAATAATTCAATATACTACATATTTTACAAGCTGAAATGTCTTTATATTTTCTTTACATTCTTACACTTGGCAGGTAGAGGTTTTAAAACAGCAATACACTCTAATTTACAGCTATGTGATTGAGCAATATCAATCATTGACCCACAATTGCTAATTTAGACACATATGATATGTCAAAATATATAATATTGAATATTTAACTAGCATATATTGAATGTATGACTAGCATGTTTAATTGATAACCAGCAAACTGTATATGTTATAGATAGCTAGTATATTTAATAGATAACTTGTTTTGGTTCATTCTACAAAAGATTGAATAATGACCCATCAAAACTGGCTGAAGATTTTCCAATCTTCCTAATCACTTGCCCTTACTCCCTTACTCAGGGAGTATCTCACCAAAAGTGAAATTCCTTTTGCAAGGGATGCCAAAAATGATACCTGTATCTTAGTGCAAATTTTGTGAAAATCAGTCAGCCAATCACAGAAGCAGGAGGTGACATTTCTGGGGTGTTCTGTACACCAACTGTGTAGAGAACCAACACCTTGCTATATTGCAATTATTTTTTGACAGATTTAGAACATTACAACAACTAAGTTTTACATTGAAAGGTTATTTTAAAAACACTAAATTACAAAATGATGTGTTATATTAATGTTTTTATTTTTTAAAGCAAGTTATCCTTTAAATTGAAATGTGCCTGGGCATTTTTATATTTGTTGCAGTTTCTGATTTACCTCATTCATTGGATGATACATAGTATAGTTGTAGGTTTCCAGAGATATTGCCCTTGCTCTGCTCCGACCTCCAAGTGATCTATCTATTAATATCTGTACATCTTCAATCAGGATCCTGGAAATAAAACAGACACCACAGTTAACGTTTTGCAGGTATGCTGAATTTGAGATCAGACCAGGAGTTTTACATTATTACTGTTGTAAAGATGTTCCGCTGGATCTATAGAGTAATGGGAAATAAAACTCTGGGCATGCATTCAGCTGTTTATTTACTGAGTGTGGCAAGAACAATAATTGACAGGTTCCATAGCTAGACATTTTCTTGGTGAAAGATCTGTCCCCACTTATAGAAGTTAGAAGCAAGCTAAGATGCTGCTCATGTTTAGTTGTGTTCAGTAGAATGCAATAAACATGCGTTATTGTTGTTAATCTGCAGTCCCATGACTTCTGTGTGTGTCTACTCCCATTAAAAGGTATAAATAACAATACGTTTTACATAACAAAGAGGGGCGTGATGTGTAGTCTTCTCCTAGGGTGATAACGCTGCCTCTCTATAGATACAGTACAGTGAGTGAGCATTGTTACCCTAGGACAGGAAGTGTGTTACTGGCAGGATCACCAGGCGAAAATGAGGGAAAAAGAAAATCCACATCTAAGGAGTGGTAAGCTGCAATATATTACATTTCTGTTCCTTGGCACACTTTAACCAGCAACCATCAAATGTTGTGGGACACTTTAAAAGAGGTACCTTATTTTATCTAGAAAGTTATGATGTGAAAAGTTTGGGAAACATGCTTTTCTGTAGTGAAGCAATAAACAATGGGGCCCTGGTAAAAACTTTTGTTCAAGTCACCCTTTTTGTGTTCCCATACTTTACTGTGCATTCCCCTTTAGCAGTGCTGCACTGGGAAGTAAGAGGCAATGTGTTTCCTGCACTTGATGATATTTTATCACAGTTGTAGGTAAAGTATAAGGTAATATCTATCCATGGGATCCGTTACTTCCTTTGTGTCTTTCTGTGGAGGCTTTTGTGACAAATGTCCTCCATAAAGCTGGTATTTTTTTTTTTACACAAAAACACTAATCAATTCAGTTATACATTCATTAGAACATAAGCCTGTGTGTTTTCACATACCTAAATATGCCTTGATACCGGGAGCGCCTCCCCGAAATGCATTCTAGCACTGGTAAGGATTTAGGAGCCAAGGATGCATGCCACCTGGCAGATTCTGCAGACAATTGACATCTACATTGAGCCCCAAAGACATAATGCCCAGCTAACTCCCAGCCACAAGCCATGGTGGTTGGGTCGTGTGACCTCTAGTGTGCTCCCCTCCTATTATGGGCTTTTTATACTATGAAATATGTGAGTGTGTTTTATTATTTCTTTCTTTTAATACATTTTTGAGTTACTACACCATGCTGGGGTGCAAGCTCATTGCTTAATTTGCCTTAATGTAAGTATTTTGTAATCCTTTTGCCTATCAGCTTTTGAACTGGGAGAAGTAGTGCACAGATCTGTGTCATGGGTCTAATGCTTTACAACGTGCTTACAAGACAGGAGAGCAGAGTGATGACCTCATCAATGTGCTGCTGTTCCCTAATTGTTAAGTCAAAGTCTCATGCTGGGTCCTGGATTAGGCTGTATTTTGTAGCTTAAGTGCAATCTGCATTGAGATAAAGGCTGTGCTGTTGGGCAGCAGCAGGTTCTTGTTTGCAGCTGAAAAAATGTGTCTTAATGTTTTGGGTGTCTTAATGTCCAAATTAATATGTGGATTTCCCAAAGAATAATCTGTTCCTCTTGCTGTCCTAATATAAGCTAAGTAGGACTTTTGCAGTTGTCAAATTGTTCAGTTGTCCTCGGCTTGTCTCCCTACATTCAGGATGGCCATCGGGAAACAGGGATACAGGGGAAAAGAGTGCCTGATTATTGATTTATGAAAAATAAAGGACAGCCTAACATCTTATCTATCTATCTGGCATGAAAAATGGTAGCCACCTGGAATATTCTTGGCGATAAATACATTTTGAGGGCTTAGATAGAAGTTCTGTACTAATATATACCCCTCCAAAAGCCCCCCAACGCTGAGACAGGAGATGACTCTACGAGATGACTTTGTTGGGCCGCCTCGTGACTCCACGAGATGTTGAAAGGTGATGCGAGGAATCTGACACTGCACTGTTGCCCTTCTGTTGTCTTGTACCAGTCTTGCCACTTTCCGTTCTGCCCTAACATTGACTAGTCGCACGTTTTCGCACGTTCAGACCCAGATTTTCAGCTGACAGTCCAGTCTTTAAACACTTTAACAACAGCTGCTCTTGAACATTTAACGAATTCTGCTGTTTTGCTGATACTCGCTCCATGGCTTGAGCGCCAACAATCATCCCACGTTCAAAGGCTGTTAAATAGCGTTGTTTACCCATATCTTCAGAAAAAAATCACTTCTACTGTCATGGTAAACAACCTGCTTCCCTATTTATAATGGTCTGGCCCTCTAGCAACTTCAGCGTGAAATTATAGCTAATTATAGCTAATTTGCCTGCAAACGTCAGGTGGTCATAATAATCTGGCCACTCAGTGTATATCCACTTTGAGATGGTTGGCCAAACAAAAACTTTGTGCTTGTGTCAATAAACCTACCTGTGTTTCCTGATGAAGCAATAGAGTCAAACGCATAGAACCACAAATTGAACATACAAGATATGAACTAAATTCAAGAAAATAAGGGTATTTTCCAGTTGAATTTATTGTTGAAACAAGTAACACAAATATGACCCATGCATTTGTTTTATGAATTTTTAAAATTATGTTATGAAATAAATTATGTAATTTTAATTAAAATCATCTTTTGTTGTACCTGAAAACTCCAATACTTAATAGTGTTAAAATGTGTAATTTATTTAGGCTGAGGTTCTTAAAGCTAAAATATGCATTTTGTTTATCATCAGTCTAGGCAGGTGGAGGTTTTAAAACAGCAAAACACTCACATTTACAGCAAGACAATTTAACAATATTAATCATTAACTTGCTATTATGTATTTAAACACATAACGCAATATAATATTTAATTGACAACCAACATATATTTAATAGATAACTAGCATATTTAATATAGAACTTGTTTGCTAGTGAATGAGCCTACTTACGTAAATGGAATATTTTGCTGACCAAGGTTTTCTTTCATGCGCTGGAGATAGGTAGATGGGACCCGAACATGTATTTCTCTTCCTGTATAAATTTCTTCTATAAGATCTGGCTTCCACAAATCTAGCTGGATAAAACAAAATAGAAAAAATGTGTTTGGTACCCTGGAGCTCCGATATACCATATATATCCCTTTATATTAATTGGAGTAGGTCGTCTAGGTCATGTAACCAGAGTTAATGAGCACAAAAAATGAGGATAAAACAAAATAACCTATTAAAGGAAACTTCTATTGAGAAAAACTCTTTTTTTTCTGGCTGTCTCTGGCTTTAAGAATTTTTAAAGAACACCTGGAACAAGCTTGCAAATTGGAAGAAGGTTGAGATCAGAATTCTGTTTGTAAACTAGTGTGGGGTTAGAAAGTTTTGAAGCCACTGAACCACATGACTGGCAGAGAACTGGAATTTTCAGAGAAGTCAGCTTTTGAAGCTTCCATATTTATCTCAGTATGGGTTTCCTTTATTAACCAATGGACATATAGGAGCTGATTTACTAAAGCAAATGAACAAGAGCAGGGGTAAATTATGGCATGCTTGCATTGTGGGCTGATACATGTGCCCACATGATTGAGATGCCACAAAACTGAGTGATTTTATTACATTTGGGTATGGTTCTTTTTTTTTTTTACCAAAAAACATTTTCTTCTGGCTTACATGCATACCTACCCAGGCACTCAGAATTTAAGACTTTGTTCAATAATGAAAAGGCCTCTGTCCCCTTGATATCTATTTAATAAGAGTGGCCGCCATGCGCATTCATTTTTCCACCCACCAATCTTGAAATATCCCCTATGCGGTTCTTTATACAGTGAGCAGTAACATAGTTATGCAACCCTGTGCTGTAGCGGTAGTACCGAGAAGTCTCAGACTCTTGCTCTGAACCACCCAATGTAAATCCATCATTTGCATTTTCAGGCCAGGAGTCTGCTGGTATGTCTTGCCCACAATGAGCACATACTTTGACTGACAGGCCACACCCACCATGTCCTGCATTTCTCTTTAAATCATGGAAAATATAGTGCTATTTGTACATGCGTATGTGACACAGGGCAACAGCATAAGTCCTCCTCCTGGCACCAGGGAACAGTGTTTTTTCCCATTCTTTACAATTTTTTCCTCAAAATGTTTTAGCAGTTTCGTTGAACTTATTGAGAGGGATCTTGAAATGCTGGTTTTCAGAGTTCAGCTTTAACCCATCTGCTGATAGGTTTTATAGGTAAAAATAATATGACTCGCTCACTAAGCAATGAAAAGTCCATGTGTGACCTGTGAGTCTGTGCATGTTACACTGTATAAAGTATATATCATGATACAATCTCATGTTTATGCACGATCAATGAGCTGGTGTAAGTGCATATCCTTTAGTTTATCAGGCCTGTTATATGCTTTCACTTATTGAAAATAATTCTTACCCGCCATTGTTTTGTCAGTTCTTGTAAAAACAAACTCTGTTTGGGTGTCCCTGGAATGATTTTGAGGACCTGGTCGCTGATGAAATGAAAAGAAAACAAAGCATCTGACTGTAAATGCCATCACAGGGGTTTACATATCCTCACAGAATTTAAATTATTCTGTTTTCATAAACATGATGTTAAACTAGTGAAGCTATTTACAACCATTCATTCATTTACCGACGAACATAATCAAAAACAATAAAAAAAAAATTTCCAGTATATTACGGTGTCCTAGATAAAATGTCCTTACTACTGCATCACACTGTAGTCTATAGTTCTTTCACTTCTGGGAGGAGTTCAAGTGATATTAAAGTCAAAAAGGTTTAAAGCTATTTTATATGATGATTAAATCACTTACAATGGATGCTGTTCCTTGATGGTTAGAAGTTTTAGCGCTGAAGAATCAGCGGATCCCTGAGAACTGGTCCTAATATTCTTTTTAGGGGGGCTCCTTTCCCTTGCAGGGTCTTATAGAGCCACCCTTGTTTGTGGTACAAAATTGTGTATGTCTCCACCACCACACAGGCACATGCAAAACAAGGTCTCTGCTCCCCGCACCTCCCTCCCTCCTCCCTTCTCCAAGCTAGTAGATGGACAGTTGCTAGAGACTACTCTGTCCCTTGTGTGATCTTGTATTGAACAGGAAGTTCAGGGAAGCTGAGCTAATAGGGTTGAAGCCAGCTGTTTGGAAACATAATGACTGTATATCCTTGGTTAAAAATGTAAATAAATATTTAGCTGGGTAATGTATATTTGTTTGATTATTGGATTCATTATTAAAAAAAGAGTTTGGAAATTTAAAACTACTTCAACTTTAAGAGCTGAACACATAAGTCAATGTTGTATTTGCTGGGGTCTATCAGGCAGAGTTCAGTTTACAGAAGTGCCATTAATGAGATAAACTTTGCTTTACCTTTTGCACTTTCTTTATTGAAGTAGTTGAAGTTGTTTGACACTGGTTTGTATTTAAACTGACATTATCAGGCTAAGAGATCTTCCAGTATTTGCTACCGATAAAGCTCACTTCCTTTGCTAGGAGAAGAACTCGGAAGAACCTTGTGTTATCTTAAAGACAAGTTCTTATCCTATATAATTGTCTCCATAGATAAGCAAATTGATTTGGCTGGCAGTGTTCATGATATTACATCCGTTGTTTGTCATTTCACTTTATTTTATCACTTGCTAAAACAGAAAATGTTATGAAAATAATTAACTACTTAACTTTTAACATTTTGATTTTGATAGATTTCCTTTAATTTCTTGATTTGAATTCAAATTACTGTAGGTACATTATTTCTGTCTAGAAAACGTAATGCCTTATCATGACATTATATAATCATATAGCCCCCGGCTATATCTCCAACCTTGTTTCGAAGTATTGCCCTAACCATCTCCTACGTTCCTCCAAAGACCTTTTGCTCTCTAGCTCCATTGTCAATTCCTCCCATGATCACCTCCAGGACTTCTCTAGAGTCCCTCCCATCCATTAGAACTGATTATCCCAACCTGTCAGGCTATCTCCTACTTTGTCTGCCTTTAGGCGATCCCTAAAGACTCATCTCTTCAGGGAATCCTATCCCCTGAATAACTCTTATATGTGTGTATCAAACACAGCAAAAAGGGTATATGGCAACAGTCCATTTACAACAGCAAAGTAAATATAGGTGTCAGCAACAAATGGGATATCATAAATTACTTCATCAAAATGATTGTGTCCTTTCAATTTACTGACATATTCATAAAGTATATAAAGTATTCGTAAAGTCAATCATTAAAATGTTACACAAACTTCGACATGCTAATAGCAATACAAAATAATTTTCAACCTTCTTAAGTCTACAGCTTCAATTAAAATAATACCTATTGATTCTGCAATGAAGGTCCATGTTCAGCCACATTCTCTTATAGGGAGAAAATGCTCTGTCACTACCTTCCAATCGCTCTCCTTGGTTATCACCCTGTCACAGGCTCTTCTGGAGGAGACTGTAAGTGCCTATGCAAAAGCCAATTGCTTAGATCAGCGGTTCTCAACCTGTGGGTCGCGACTCCGTCGGGGGTTGAATGACGATTTGCCAGGGGTTGCCCAGCGGCTCCCGGCCGCCCAGGAGAGAAACACTTTCTCCCGGAGAGGTTTACTCTGGTCGATCGATGTCCCCTTCTAGTGATTGACAGCAGCAGAAGGCGGGTGCAATAGCTAGTTTGCTATTGGCTATTGCAAAGTGAAATAGTTAATAGGAATCTAGCTATGCATTCGTATGGTGGTTTTTAATTTTTTGTATTTTTTGTATTTTGACGCCGGTGGTTCGCAATCTGTGGGTCGCTGTGTGATTTCTGCTGTGCTAGGCGAGAGTCCTCCTCAGCCCTCTCCTAGCGCAGCAGTATCAGTTCCCCCCGCAACGCCGCCAGATGTCGCTGCAGCAGCCCCTTCATCCCTAAATTTTATCGTTGGGGGTCACCACAACTTGGCAAATGTTACCAAGGGGTCACGGCCCTAGAAAGGTTGAGAACCACTGGCTTAGATCATGTTCCTCCATTGTCACCATTAGAAAACCTACCCTGAGCAAACATGTGCAACCACTGCTGGAGTGAGTTTGTGTAGAAAGAAAAGACTGCAGGAGTTCAGCAGCAAAGGAAGAAAACAGTATTTTCTAATGGAAAAAAGTGGCTGTTGTTTATGATGCACAGTGCCTTAGCAAAAGAAATGCCACCCAGTTAGGGTATGCATCTACATCTAAAATAAGTGATTCAAAGATTTCCAATACATTCTGCAATTTAGTCTGGGCTCTTAGCCAAAACGAGTTAAGGAACGCTTCACCTAACATTAACTTTTAATCACCCTAAAAAGCTGTGTGAACTCCTTTTGAGTTTATGACTTGTTATTGCCCCTAATGTACAATTAACATCTAAAAGGAAGACAAGATGTACAAATAAACTGGGATTTGCACACCCATCTTTATGGTGTCATAAAGGAAATAAATATTTTGGTAATATGCATGCAAAGCATTTACAGATCACTTTAAAGACTACCATAAAGACATTATTGCATTATGGTATTGCCTTTATAATAAGCTAGTTAGGTTCTTGTGACATAGCCCAGTTAGCACCTCAGTAGATATTAATGCATAAAATGACACGTCTGCTTTTAATCTTAACATATTCATTCCTGATGTGTTCGCAAGAAGGGAGATATGAGAATATGGCATACTAGATAAAATCAGTTAGTCAGTAACAGAAGGAAGGATTTATTTTATTACTAATCACAGTTGCATGAGTTCATAAGAGATCATGTGATACACACTAGTCAAGGTATATACACTGTAATTCCCCATTGGAGGTTATTTTACAAGTAAACCATATAAACACACAATGACATCACTACAGTTTGCGTATGATTTGTGCCCATGTTCAACCTGAACCCAAATTTAATTCCTCGGGAAAACATGTAGTATCTTATAGTATATATAAACTTTGCATCATAAACAATTGCCATTTTTCTTAAATAAAATACTTTTTTCAACCTTTGTAGCATCTCAGAGCTACTGATCTCTTGCAATACCTTTGCAACCATTTCCTATCTTCATGCATGTACTCCAGTAATGACTGTATGGCGTTTC